GGCTATTTTTTTGTTGCAGTTTGGCCAGGGCCAGGTTTAAACCCGCCACCCTGGGTATATGGGGCAGGTGCCCTACTCACCACACCACAGGCTCTGCCCCCCCCCACCCCCATGCATTCTTATCTCTGGAATAAGTACATCCATCCCACCCTTTCCCCCCATTATTTTTATCATAGTATAATACAGATATAGTAAAATTTACCCCAATTTTTTAGTGTATGGTTTTGATAAATGCATGTAGTTCTGTAACCACCATCACAATAAAAATATACAGTCCTCCCTCAGTAACCACAGGGGATTGGTTCCAGGTCCCCTTACACATACCAAAATCCCATGGTGCTGAAGGCCCTGATATAAAATGGCCTAGGCCAGGTGTGGTGGCTTTCACCTATAATCCCAGCTAGTTGGGAGGCTGAGGTGGCTAAGAGTTCAAGGTTATAGTAGCTATGATTGTGTCATTGCACTTCAGCCTGGAAGATAGAGCTAGACTCTGTCTTTAAAAAATAAATAACATAGTGTAGTATTTGCATGTAACTTATGCGTATCTTCCTATATACTTTAAGATATCTCTAGATTATTTATAATACCTAATACAATGTCAATGCTATGTAAATAGTTGATATACTTCATTTTTATTTTATTTTCTCAATGGTAAGACAGGATTTTTATTAGACAGAAAGAAATACAGAAGCAGTAAGAAAGGCATCAGAGCCTCTGCTAAAGGGGAAGACCCAAGTCGGAAATATCTCTCTTGGGCTCTTTGTCTAGGGCAGGCATCCTCAAACTATGGCCCGCGGGCCACATGAAGCCTGCCTAGGTCATTTATCCAGCCTGCCTCTGCCTGTCCTGCTTACCAGCCGACTCGTCCCGGGGCCAGCAGTCTGGCCCTCTCACGGTCTGAGGGACAGTGAACTGGCCCCCTGTTTAAAAAGTTTGAGGACCCCTGGTCTAGGGTATATTTTTAATTTGTATTATTTTTTTTGAATTTTTTCTAGATACTTTCTTTTTTCCAGGTTAAAATTAAATCATTAGGCATGTTAACAATTTCCTGGATTTGTGTCAGATCATTTTCTAATTTAAAAAAATTAATTTTATTTATTTATTTATTTTTTTTTTTTTGAGACGGAGCCTCAAGCTATCCCCCCTGGGTAGAGTGCCATG